AATGAAAAAAAAAAAAAAAAATCTCCTTAACGTTTAGCGCGCAATATTTTAATAAAAGCACACGCAATAAGTATAAAATCGTAACCCAAATAAAAAATTCACTCAAAAGCAATACTCACTCGTTTCTCAAAAACTCACACAAACACTGCACATATTAACTAACATCCATCAGCTTTATTCTTAATACCGCCGCGCATTCAAAGTGATGCATGAAGCTGTCTGTTCATCATGCCAAAATGTACATAAATTAAGTAGTATCTTAAAAAAGCATGCGATCTTAGATGTAAATGTAATTTTTTCTACCTGTATAGACTAATAAAGTATACTTAAAAGGTGCTTGAACTAACGATGTTTTGCTAAACTAACAAATTGACGGCCTAACCCAGGGAGCAGGTAGCCTTGATGGACACCTCGTCGCCGCCGGGCTCGCCCACGACGTATCGCCGCTTCAACAGTCGCGAGGAGAACGTCTTTTCAAGGCTGACCGCCACCAGACAGACCATGCACGTCGAGCATTTACCAACCAAGGGCGTCATTTCCAATTACCAGGGAAAGGTCAGAATTTTTGTTTTTTTTTTGTCAACAGTGAAAGCTGTAATTTTAAAACTTTTGTCTCATATTCTGACAAATATTTTTATTTATTATTATTTTTTCTTCTACAGAGCGTTCCCAGGGCTATATTGCAGTGCACGCACGTAGCCGAAGGCCACAGCAAAGCCGTCCTGTCGATTTGCGCAACCAACGATTTACTCTTCAGCGGCTCGAAAGGTTTTCTTTTTTCTTTTTTCCCCAAAATGCACACTTTTTTTTTCATCTCACAGCACATATTCCTAATTTTTTTCAGATCGAACGGTTAAAGTGTGGGACCTGGGAACTGGCATCGAGAGCACATCGCTGAGTGGTCACCCAAATAACGTCGTCGTCGTCAAGTACTCGACAGCTCATCGGCTACTGTTCAGCGTCTCAGCGGCTTATGTAAAAGTTTGGGACCTGCGTAGTGGCAATAGCTGTATTAAAACTCTGTTTTCGTCGGGCCAAGCCCAGAGCGGGCCCTTGAACCTCGCGACACCCTCGCGCACACTCCAGATGCCCGTGGGCGAGACGACGATCAATGACCTCGCCCTAGGTCTCGACGACCACGAGCTCTACACGGCGTCGAGTGACAAGGTACGGATCTGGGACCTCAGGAAACTGGCCTACATTGGCAAACTCAGCACGCCTCACGCTGCCGCTGTCATGTGCCTGAGCGTTTCGGATGACGGGAGAGTCATCACTGGGTCGAAAGATCACCTGGTGAGCTTGGTAGAGCCAAACATATCTGGCCAGTCGCTGAGCTTATCGCCGCCGCATTACGATGGGGTACAGTGCCTGGCGACCCGCGGAAGCACGCTGTTTTCCGGCTCGAGGGACATGTGCATCAAGAGGTGGGACTTGAGTCGAATGGAGCTGGTTCAGTCGCTCAATAATGCACACAAAGACTGGATCCTGGGATTGTGCCTTATCAACGGTGGATCAGTCATGGTATCGGGTTGCCGAGGTGGTTTCTTGAGGGCATGGTCCGTGCCCACTTTTGGTGACAATGCGAGTGAGTTCCTTGGTGAGGTACGCGCTCACACCTCTGCTATAAATGCCACCGTCGCCAACGATCAGCACATCTTCACAGCCAGCAAGTGAGTACAATTTTACGTCGACACGGCGGTTATATATACATATATATTTTTTTTTTTTTT